GTTGATTCCTAGGTATTTCAGTTTTTTGGATGCTATTGTGAAAGGAATTATTTGCCCTATTTCTCTCCCAGTGAGTCTGTCATTGGTGTAGAGGAATGCTATTGATTTTTGTGTGTTGACCTTGTATCCAGCTACTTGACTGAATTTGGTTATTAAGTCTAGGAGACTTTTGGTGGAGTTCTTGGGGTCTTTGATATAGAGTATCATATCATCTGCATATAATGACAATTTGACTTCATTTCCTATCTTTATTCCTTTTATTTCTTGCTCTTGTCTAATTGCTGTGGCTAATGTTTCCAAGAATATATTGAACAAGAGTGGTCATAGTGGACATCCTTGTGTTGTTCCAGATTTTAGTGTGAAGGATTTCAGTTTTTGACCATTTATTATGATATTGGCTGTTGGTTTTTCATACATGGCTTTTATCCAATTGAGTAGAGACTGTCTATTTCAGGTTTTTGTAGGGTTTTTATCATAAATGCATGTTGGATTTTGTCAAATGCCTTTTCTGCATCTATTGAGATGATCATATGGTTTTTGTCCTTGGCTCTATTGATATAGTGTATTACATTGATTGATTTTCATATGTTGAACCATCCCTGCATCCCTGGGATGAATGCCACTTGGTCAGGGTGTATGATCTTCTTAATGATCTTCTGCATTCTATTTGCCAGTATCTTATTAAGAATTTTTGTGTCTATATTCATTTGTGAAATTGGCCTGTAGTTCTCTTTTGTGGTTGGGTCTTTCTCTGCTTTGGGGATCAAGGTGATGCTTGCTTCCAGGAATGAATTCGGGTGTATTCCAGCTAATATTTTAAAAACAATAACATTATTAACCTTCACCCATGACATTTCCCTCTCTCACTCTCTGCTTTCTTGAAATTCTTTTTCCCTGAATCCTGTTTATACTCTTACTATCCATGTAGATATTCACATACAATCTATGAATTGGAAGCTTTGGCAAGCTTTTGATTTTACCCAAGTGCTGTAGTTCTGTAACTTCTATGCATTTTTCATTCAGCATTATATTTTTGAGGTTTATTTGTGTTGCTATCAGATCAACTGTATTACTATTAAATTGTTCATTATTTTTGAAAGGTGATGACTTATGTACCATTATGATTGGTCTGTAAGTATGGGCCATATGGAAAAGGGAGGTAGGTTGTAAGTCTATTTTCAACCAGTGCTTTCTTTACCCATTAAAGAAAAGAAACTTGAGAAGCTGAGTAAACAAGGAAAAGTCTGCAGGGATGTGCATGAGCAGTCAAAGCCTTTGGCCACTGAATTAGTAGACTGATAACAGTGGAGGTCACCTTGGGAGATGACCGGATATGCCCTGGCAATAATGGTGGAAAGGTTAGAATGAGTATGTGGCACTAACCGAAAGACTCCCCCCACAAGCTGATACAGAATGTCTTGCATCTGATGAGCAACGAGAGATGGTTGTCTCCCATAACCCTTAATCGGGGATGAAGGAGAACTTTGTGCACAAATCAGGAGTCATGGTTCAGTGGTGACCAATTTCTCTTTCCTTCTCTGAGAAGATGGTCATGAGAGCAGGGATGCAGGCTGAGGGGGCTGCTGAGTGCTGCTGGGTGCTGTGGGCCACATGGGCCAGGTTGCTTCCTATTCCATTTCTAGCTGCCTGGAGATGCCAGCTGGGCTGAATAGGGAGCTTGGCCTCTGGAGGCACCTGTGACTTGGAGTCCCCAAGACTCATAGGCCTGGGGGAACTTCTGGAGCACCCCCTTTTCTCCATATATATATATATATATATATATATATATATGAATATGATTGATGGGCATTAAGATTATGTCCCACTTTCCCTTAATAGAAGTAATGGTGTGTCTGGAGGCATAGCTCAGTGGTAGATCAATAGCCTAGCTGTGGGTTCAACCTCCAGCAAGAAAGGGGGGTTGGACAAAACGAAATGCTATGACATCACTCACAATATGTATTCTGATGTATATTCTGTGAAGCACCTCCTTGAATATGTGTTCTACTCTCTTCCTTTTTTTTTTGGTACCAGGGATTGAAGTCAGGACCTGGTGCTTGCAAGGCAGGTGGCAGCACCACTGAGCTAAATCCCTGGCTCTCTACTCTCTTCTTGAATTCACTCTTCACCATCGCTGTGGCTCTTGGACGTGAGACCTACCGGACTGTTCTCCACAGTGAACCACCCTTCCTCAGCATGGCACTTGGGTCACTAAGTAGTTGCTGAGTGTGAACCTGGCCTAGTTTCTAGGCCCTGCTTTGCACTTGGAGACCTCATCTTCCATGGGAGTTCTTGTTTCAAGCTTTGCAAGACTCCTTCCACCCCTTTTCCCACACACCTGGCCCTTCATGGAAGTGAAAAGTTCTTTAGCCACAAGGATTGGCATGTTGAGTCAGAAGGCGAGGAGGGCTTGTACAAGAGGTCAATTTAACTGCCCATGATGGAACCTCAGTTCACAGTGGTGGAGGAAATGGGAGTGTTCCTGGTGACCTCACGGTAGGAACTAGCACAGGAAAATGAACATAGTAGAGTTCATGCAGGGGTGAGAACAGGCAAAGAGCAGGCCAGTGCCCAGTGCCCAGGAGCTCAGATCTGTGAGAGAACAGGTGGTTAGACTGGTAATATGACAGGACTCAAAAGGTTGCGGCATTTTTTCCTCTCCCAGATCACTCCATTTGAGCTTTCAGGTAGAAAGTGGTGGCTGGGCAGTGTGCATGGCAGAGGTGATGGTGGCCTGCCAACCTGATGAGCAGAAGCGTCCAGGCCCTGCTTTAGTGTTGGCTCACTTCTGGCCTTCCACGGTTTGCTGCCTCTATCCTCCACCCATGAATATTGAGGCTCTGTGAAGTTGGGCTTCCTCCTCCTGCCATCACTTACATTCCACTTCCCACCTCCTGCTTTCAAGCAAGAGAACTCCAGGCAACTGGCCTCTGGCTTTAGTCCAACCATTACCAGTGAACTGGAAGCAATGTTGCTACTAAGACCTCCAGAAGGAGTCCCAAGAAGTGGTCCAGTGGTCTCCTGACTTTGACTTCTCTTTGGCATGAGATAAAGGAAACTCCAGAAGTCCTGGTTTGGTACAGAACCCAGTGTGCGTCTGTGTGGAGCCGGTGGGTGGCATTAGGGAACCCTTTCAGCTTGGTTTGCCTTTGTGATTTCAAGTGAGCCTCTGCCAGGAGAAAGAGGTTTGTTTTTCAAAGAGCAAGCTTGGACTCAGGTTTACTCTGGGCAGATGCTTGAGCTTTTGCCTCGACAGCTCGTAAAACTCAGTAACAAATCAGAACTTGCAGTACTCTGGCTCAGAGGAGAAAACCTGGGAATGGTTATCAACTCCTTCCCTCCTGCTGGCTGACCCTCCCCCTTCCTCTCTCAGCACTGGCCCACCCTTACTCTTACCACCACACCATCAGACACATGAAAACGCTGTGTTCTCAAGAGCAAGGGTGGTAGGCCTGAGGCTGGACCGATCAGGCCAGCAGCCTTTGTCAGATGTGAACAGGGAAGTCAGAGCAAAGGAAAACTGCTTTTTGGCTTCATTCTTTGCCACAGCGCTATGACACTACGTGTATGTTTCTCTATAGTGGGCCCTGGACAGTCAGTGCAGTGGAAGAATTCACTGTTTTTGGGCTCAGAAAATGGCTGGTAGTGACAGGTTGCATTGGCATGTGGAAGATTGTAAGATACAGGCCTCATTGTTCACACTGCCCCTCTGGCAGGCCTTACTTACAGGCTCACATGCCCGAGTCCTGACTTGGGTGACCCCAGAGCCTAGCATACACTGAGCAATTAACAAATGTCAGCAGGCTGAATGAGTAGAATGAATAAACAAGAGCCTTTGAGAAACTGATGGTTATCACGCACTTATGAAAGGACTTCTTCAAGATAAACCTATGAGAAAACTATTTTTTTACAAAGCTCAGAATAGTTAAGTAAGTTGTCTAGGCTCTCATAGCTAAGACTCTGTGTGTGTGTGCGCGCGTGTGCGTGTGTGTGTCTGTCTGTCTCTGTGGAGGGGCATACAAGAGAAAAAGCCTGAGATGTCATTTTGTATCATTCTCTATTCTTACAAATTCACCAAGTCTGTCAATTTAAGAATTTGCCAAAGCTGATGTGAGAGTTGACTGTCCCAAAAGTGGGAGATGAAAACAGGTTGGAGACCTTCAAGTGGGTACCTGATACAGCACATACCCTGCAAAACCAGAAGGGCTAGGAACAGAAGGGAGAAGCCCTCAGTACCTAGACTAGAGGAGAGAAGGGACAAGGACGCTAGCAGGGTCTTTCCCAGGCATTTCTCACCACCCTCCGACCCAAAAAAGAAGAAAGTACAAAGTCAGATCAACTGTTAAAAATTATTTAATAGAAAGTCCAATGTCAAAATGTAACAATAAACAAAAATACACATGTATAAATATGTATATATAATTAGACCTGTACACTTTCTCAGACCCTTTTCAAAATGGAACAGAATCATCACTATAACATCTTGGTGGTCAAATCAAAAATAATATTCAAGCCACATGGGTCCATGGTGCCATGGGGAGTAGCACTGGTGAAGCACTTTGAGGGTTCACAGAATTCCAATCAGGAGAGAGCTGGGGATATTGCCAATGCCCTTTTTCTGGAGACCCAGAGAGGGAAGAACAATCCCATGGCTGTGTATGTGGATCTGACCTGGTCTTAGCACCTGTAGCCACTACTGTCTTGGGACAGCTCATCTGCTGGGGTTCTGAATTACTTAAAATTCATGTAGTTGTGAGTTCTTTTGCCTCATTTCCCAGTTCAGAAGCTCCCAGGGATTCTGCCTTAGGGTTTTCTTATTCCACAGGCCCAGGGCCACACAGTGGTTGGGGATGCCATCGAGGTGCTGATTTGCACAGAAGCAGTGCTGTTCTATGTGATTTTGACCAGGAGTTGACCAAGAGGTACCCAAAGTCACCCTCAGGAGTTCAGAGAGAAAATATTAGAACCTATTTATAATGGCTTGGGTCTTAGTCATTTGAAATTTCTATGCTGTGTACTCCTCTTTCTAATGTGCTAAAGATTACTGTAAGAGTAAATGGATATATGCTTTAAGCAAATCAATGAGCATCCAGGAGGGTGCATCTCACAAAGGTTTTGCTGATGGCCATGTGCAGTGGAAACAGATGGGCACCCACTGCTTTAGAGTTCACGGGCAGCAGTGTGTGTGTGGGGGCCTGCCTTACAGCCTCTCTTGCCCACTCAGAACGAATTTGGAGGTGCTCAGATGCGCAAGGCCCAGGATACCTGCCAGACCCTACTGAGAGCTGATGACTCCTAGTCCTGCTGCTAGATTTTCCTTGAATGTAAGGTCCTGTTCCTAAATAAAATGCAAATACCTCGGGAAGAGCAGCAAATATGCAGCCAGTGACAACTGGCATGGAGGCAATTTGATCCTTTCCTGGCAATGAGATGAAGGTGAGTGGGAAGTGTGCCAGGAAATAAAATGGGGAGATGGTGCCCTAAATTTAAAGTGGGTGAGTGAGACCAAAGACTCTTGGTTTCCAGCATTAAGTCTGCCATGGGCGGAATTCTAATGTGTATGCCTAGACCTAGCCCTGGGGGACACTTGACTAAGAATCACAAGACCCAGAATTAAAAACTCTTTAGTGAGGAGCCAGAGGACTATCTGGGAAAAGAAAGCGTGTTGGGCAGAATCATTCTGAGGGTGGGGAGGCCAGTGTTGCTGGGGTCTTGCCAAAGAGGCCAGCCCCAAGGAGCAGCAGGGCTCGCCTGGGACCCCTGAGCAGAGGTCCAGAGCCACTCAACTGGGAAAACTGCTCCAGCCTCAAATTCCTCCAGCCTCTCAGAGGAACTGTCTCCCATTTGAGCCATTTCTTGGGTTTCTAGAGACTGTGCTGACTTACAGCTAGTATTCTGATGCATCTAACTCTGCTTCTGCCTAAAAGTTTTTTTTTTTTTTTCAGGAAAACAAAAACAAGCAAAACAAAACAACAAACAAAGAAAATCCCCACTTTGCTCTTTGGAAAACCTAAAAGGCACTGCAAATTGTTTTTTATAGAGGGAGTCTGCTGTCTTGAGGCTTTCCCTGGCTCACCCTAGCTGAGCTCTGACAGTACTCACGAGGTCCTCAGCAACTATCTACGCTTGTGGGTATTTTCCACTTGTATGCAGTTCATCTGTGCTTTTAAGGGTTTAAACTGTCTGCTTTCTTTGCGGGACTCAGGTGTGCAACAGGTGGCATGTCACCTCCCCCAGAGGGCAGCTGCCTCTGGTTAGCATCAGAAGCCTTCTGCCACTTCCTGTGTGTTTAGGGTACACCCTCATCCCTGGGTACAGGCCAGCTGGCCCCAGGAGGTATTTTTAGTTCTATAAAGTCAGGTCAGGTCAGGATGACCCAGCACTGTCCTCCATCTGACTCTGAACCACATCCAGTCGAGGCTCAAGCCCTTGAACTTAAACAGCTTTGGAGACAGGAAGAGGAGCTGGCGTGGGGAGGGGCCAGAAGACAGGAATACATCATCTCAGCAAGCTACTGTGCATTCCCAGAGAGGAGGGCAGCCCGGGCCTGAGGGTGACTACACATAGGTCTGAGGGACCCGTGCCGTGGACTGCACAGGGCAGAGCAGAGCCTGAAGCTCTTCTTTATGCACCCTGAATGCACAGCAAAACCTCAGAGCCCTCTGTGGCTGCCTCAGCTCACTGCCCTGTCCTTGCCTCTTGCTCTCCCCTCCTCCCTCGTCACCTCTGAGCGCCAGCCCCCCTCTGCATGCTGGCCCTGGGCAGTGCTCACTATCCCTGCTGTCCCTTCACCCTGGAAGGCTGTTTGCAATGCTCCTTCAGTTCTCTGACAAAGGTGGGCTTTGATGGCACTGCTTTCTGGAGGCCTGATTCCCAGAGCTGTGCTGGCTGCCTCTACAAAATGCTCCTACCACAGCACCCAGGGCACTTCCCTACAGTGGCCCTTCAGGGCCTGTCCCCTCACTACTGGTAGGCCCCTAATGAAGGTGGGAGCTATGTTTGGTTCAACGGTGTATTGCTGATGATGAGCTCAGTACCTAAAGTGTACCAGGTGTCCATAAATGGTCTGTTGTTTGAATGAGTCCTCAAGACTGGGAAGGGCAGTGCTAAAAATGCTACACCTGGGACAACCTAGATGAAAGGACCCCAGTTCCATGCACTGATGTCAAAGTATTCCAGGGGAGCTAATGAAATGCCAGTCTGGGCCACATGGACGAGTGGAGGAGTGTGCAAACAACAATATGGCTGTATGTGGCTGGACCTGGCATGCACCCTCAGGGATGTGTCCTTTGTGCAGTGCACGCTGAAGAAGGACATGAGCACAATACCCAGCAAGAGTCCCAAGGGAGTCACACAAATGTGAACATCTGGCAAGAAGGCCTTGTGCTGGCAAGAACAGCAGCAGGCCCAATGTTCCCACATGTGTCTAACTCAGACCTTTGCAAGAGCAATCACTAGCTTTTCCTCTTGTGGTATTATTATAGTTACTATATTATTATAGAGTTTGCAGAAAGGCAAAATATAACCCTTTCTTCAAGTCTGTGGATGATAAAGTATTTATATTCTCTTTAGCCACTGCATGTGTGTGTGTGTGTGTGTTTGTGTGTGTTGAAAATGGATCCGAATTTGAAGTCCTAATAATTCAGCTGCCTGGTTCAGGAAAATAGTAATTTTTATGAATTTACATCTTGTTTTGAATGGAAAATCTGGCTTAGAATCTTCTGCCAAACTTCCCTTGCTCACTTGCCTGTGAAGAGAGATGATTCTCTGAAGGCTAGATTGAAATGCCTGGACACCAGGGCTGCTCTCTTACTGCTGGGTCTGGGCCAAGTGGCTCCCCAAGGTTCTAATGCTATTTTTAACCCTGGGGCACTTAAGGCATTCTGGCTGAGTAAATGGTGTTCTTGGTACCCTAAGACTTAATCGAGTTCAAAACCTTGGTCTAAAAATAACCCCTAGGAAGGGGAGAGGAGTGAATTCAGGGTGCAGAAGATAGATAATATCTGACTCAATATCTGATAGGCAATATGGGACCTTCAGATTGGGGGAGGTGTTCCTGAATTAGGGTAATTTTTCTGGCTTCCAAGAGGTAAGAGCCATTTCCTACATCATCTTCAAGGAGTTTGGAAGTTGCCAGGTTACAAATAATCATGATCTTTGGAACAGATTTCATAGGGAAACTGAACATATTACCCCCTCTATTCAATTTTTCTTTTGATTCAAGCTGAGTAAATTAGGGTGAATGTGGGTCCCTTCCATGCAGCGCCTTAAACAGTTGCTATGGAGATATGAATCTTTTTTTTTTTTTTTTTTCCTACACAATGTGCCTTAAGAAGCAAGCACAGAAAACTCAGGGGTCTTCTGATTTTGGATCAAGTTATTTATATGACTAGCAAAGTCACTGCATGACTATCCAAAAATTTTTAAGATCTTGAAGAGATTCTATTTAGTTTTGTGCTCAAAATGAGCCAGGAAAATACAGACCTTTAGCCCAGTGATCAAAATGAAATATCCAATTCTAGCCACAAGAAAGGATTTCAATAGAGATTAAAGGTCTAGGTACTGTTTGCCCTCCACTTCCAGAGATCAGATTCTCTCAACCTTGCTTCAGGTGGAGGCTTCTAACCTTACAAAGATGCAGCCAGCCTGTGCTGAAACCACAAGCCTTAAAAATGCAGGCAAGAAATCACAGCCATCAGCAGCCTGATTCAGTATCTAACTGCAGAAGTACCAGCTTCCTTTCCCCAAACTGAAAGGACTCGAGGGGTGGGAGACCCAGGTGATTAAATTCCCCAAACCTTTTCCCTTTGAGTGAAGAAGTCCTACTGCAGCCTCTCCTGGTTTGTGTGCAGCTCATCAGATAAAACACTCTCCATGTAAAACGAAGAGGAGCCAAGGAGAGAACCTGGTAGTTACCCCAGAGGGTGTTTTCACAGTGTTGCAAGGGGCATGGTAATAATAATAATGTTTAATAATAATAATAATAAAAAATTAGAAAATATTTGAATGGCATCTTTCCTTCATTCCACATGGATGTTTTTGTTGGATAGATGCATTCAACACTTAAGATATACACTATTTAGAACACAGGGGTAATAATCCACTTTGCAGATCTATTGTGAGAATTACACAAAACAATTATAAAATGTCTTGGACAGTAGCTGGCACAGAGTACAAATAATAAACATCAGTTCTTTTCCCCTGTTTCTTCCAAGATTGGACTTGATCCCAGGTAAAGTATGAGTCTGCTGAAAACCACAGCATCATTATTAAGTCCCAACATTGTCACAAAGGTAAATATATTTACTCACAAATCTCATTTTGTACCATAGCTTTGTAACCCTTTTCCAGAGACGTATAAAAAAAGTGACTGCTGAAGTCAAAGACATTTTTCCCCCTTGGAAAAACACATCTGTTCATTGGCAGAAGGCAATTCACAGACCTTGTTCATGACATTCCAGAAGATTTAGTGTAGGGCTCTTTGCAGTATCAAAGCCAATTGCCTTATCCAGCTTTATATAGGCACACTGGGGTCCAGTAATCCACCCATGACACTGGGAAGCCAAAGTTTTCATTATGCCTTTAAATATATATTCCCTATTCACCAACCATGTCCCCCTTTTTTTCTACTGGGGTTTTAAGCAACTTAACAAAAAGACCAATTTCTAAGAGGTACAAAGAAATAAAGCTCTGAGAATGCCTTCTGGAGGAAAAGGATGGAAAGTGGATTTTATGTAAAATTACAGAGTTCAATCTAATACTCTTTTTTTTCTTTTTTGAGGGAGGGGTAGAGAACCTTAGATACCAGTTGTTTTGCTCTTCATAAAGAAAATATTAGAGTCCCAGAGTCCAAGATTCTGAGTCAGTATTTTCCTGGATTAAGAATTAATTTTTCTTCCTACAAAACCAACATATTTAACCAAATTTCTTGACTAATAGAGATGGAACACTTTTAAATTCTTGTCCAATGGGTAAGTAGGACTTATAATCAATAGGCCAACCTACATCACAGGCTACTGAGGTAAAATTCATAAGAGGTATAATTTCTGTTTTCAGCAGGCTTACAGGACAGTCTTGTCTTAATAGAAAAAAAGCAGTGATGAGGATGGGAGGAAGACAGAGTTATAACTCAAAGTTGGATGACATCAACTGGGACCACAAAGTGGGTTCTGTCATCCCTGGGCCTGCTGCTAGGACCGTCAGCTTGCTGGCCTGGTCACTTCCGATGCCTGGGTGTGTCTGTGACACAGAGGTGCTTTCTTACTTGACACCAGGGAGCAGGCGGGTGCTAGGGCAGAGACAGGGGTTAAGAACCAAGGCCACTTTGGGGTCAGGTCATTTCATATTTGAATCATCCAAGGCCAGTCTCAGATCACAGGCACAGCAGACAGGGAGAGACCTGCCACCCACCCAGTTGCTGTGTGGCTCCGCTGTTTCTGAGGGCTGATCTAGTTTTCTGTCACTGGACTTTGTACCTTCCTGGTCCCTCAATAGACCATAGCACCACTCTATGCTCACTGCATAAGCCTGGGGCGAGGAGGAATCTTGAAGGTGAAAGCCTCTTTTAAGGTTGTCTGCCAGTAAGGAACACGTATTGCATTGTGAGTGCAGAACTCCATGATCCTGAATCTCTGTCAACCAAAAGAAAGCTGTGCACACACCGCTGAACTTTTACAACTCTACCACTAAAAGTACATAAGGCATATGTAATCCAGCTGTAAATCTTGTTGGCAGCTCAGCCCCACCCACTGGCCACCAGGCAGCTGGATTTCCAGTCATCCTGGCACACAGTCAGCATAGCAATCCTCTCTGCTGACTGCTTCTTAGTCTGTTTCTCACTATTTTTCTTCCTCCATTCACCAGACTTCCTTCCCTCCTTCCAACTGTGTCCTACAGAGATGACAACTAGCAGAATGTACCAGCGTGTACAATGGAGTATTCTTTTCACTGCATCTGAGACAATCTGCATAATGTTTGGATACACAGAGTGAGAAAAGGGGAAGGTATTTTTGCCCTAGATCCTTTCAGAAGGTATTAAAAAAAGTACAAACACAAATCACTTGACAACTTTATGATTAAAGCCAACAAATGGGAAACAGACAGCTTTGAGTGTTAATATAATTAAGCACTTCATGCCAACCCACTCAATCACCCCATTTCTCAGATGTGTTTCTAGAAAAGTGTCTGAAGAGGAAATCACTTTTGCACAGCAAAGATGTATCCAGTGTTAAACACGGGAGATAGAACTCCAGATGAAAAGCTGCTGGTTTGTGGGAATAACTCTTATGGTTTTATTAAACACTCAAAAGTCAGGTCCTGAGAAACACTTGGTTCTGTGTACACGTGTAACATGTCAAAATGTTAAGCGTGACTGTGAGGAAAATGATGTGAGCATGTTTCATCTCTGGGTAGAGGATGGTGACTGCCTGGGAAGACACTGTCTGAGACACCGAGTAGTCAAATGGAAGACGTTAACATTTGCTTCATTCTTGCTCGATAAGAACACGAGATCCTGGACAAGGTCATCCACATAACAGTGAACAAAGTCCCCAGTGAACAAGTTTGAGGTGGGGCTTAGCAGTTCGTTTACAGTTGAGAAAAACTATTTTCATCACTTGGCCAAAACCATACAGGGGGAGGGAACTTAAAACCCTAGACTACTTGACTCTTCCTGCATTTTTCTGCCTGAAGCAGGATAAAAAGCCTTACATTTTGGCTGCATCTCTATTTATGTAACAACCACAGCTGCTCCCCAAAATAGCTTCTGCTGGCTGCAAGAATTAAGAGATTTTGTTGCTAACAAATTTGAGTCCATTTTCTACAGCACTTGACTGAGCTCCTTCCCCTCACTCTTGCTGCCCCAGGTCTGACAGGAGATAAGGGATCTCACTTTTAGCATGTCAGTGGTGCCACCAATTTTGTGGATGGATTTAAAAGTCAAGGTTCATTTCGGCAAGAGCACATTTAGGTCCTTATCCCATTTTGTGGCAGGTGATAGCTTGAGAACCTCCCCTCTCAACATCTTAACCACCCACCTTCTTAACTACCCACCTTTGAAAGGTAGTAGTACGGCTGATGGAATGGAGGCCCTTGAAGTTCACAACCCAAAAAGAGAAACACGCAGGGCTCCTTCTGTATTTTTGTGGGACAAACTCAAACCTGGGCTGCTGGCATGGCATTTAATAGGGTGCCTTCCCCTGAAGTAACAAAAAGAACCCTCATCAAAGCTATCAAACATGTTAAAAAAATACAAAAGTTATTTTCTCCTTTTGATTGCTATTTACTTGCAAGACAATATTTGTTAAAAATATTACTTCTGTCTTTGAGAAGAGATCATTCTCTTCATATAGCATGGAAAAATAAACTCTACTGAACACACAGTCAACATTCCCCACCACTGCCAGGGGCTTTTGGCTTTCACATCTCCAAATATCGTCACCAGTGTAAATGTCCCATGTTTTTTGGGTAGGCAAATGCTTTTCACCATACTATCCAGTGCTGGAAGTAAGAAGAGAAGGAAGTGGCAAGGCTCATGTAGCATAGTGCAGGGAGAGAATCACAAAACAGGATGCTTTATTTTCTAACAAAATGAAAGACATTGTGGCTTCAGATCCCCCTAAAAGGTCATAGGGTGCTCCCTCATCTTTTCTGACCATTCACAGCCCTTCTGAACCTTGGCAGATTAAGGGAAGAGTGGGGAGCCACTTAAGGCCACTCATCAGTGTCACTGCAAAGAAGGGCTCAACTTCTACAACCAAGATCACCTTAAAACACTGAGCTGGATGAATGGGAGAAGACAAAGATACATAAAAACAGTAAAATGTTTATTTTTTAGAAAAAAAAGTGTGGCAGAGGGATTCAAAATGATTGTAATCACACTTCCATCTGCATCTGAGCAAAGCCAATGTTGCAAGCTTAATCCTTGATTAAGGTACCTATTAGACGGAACAACCTGCTGCTCGCTCCTATGTCACTTCCAGGAGTCAAGTCACACCATGCTTTTAATTGATAATAGCTCCTCTACTTCTTCAGAGCAGAGAAACAAGGCTGGCCAAAGCAACCATCCCGTTTCCAAAGTTCAACAATGCCAGTGACAAATAGGGCCCAGGCTGTCTCTGGATGGCTTGGGAGGAAAGAGAGAGGGAAAGAAATGCTTGACTTAGAAGCAGAACTGGTCTAGAATAGAAGTTTGATATCTGAGTTCACCACTACTTCATCTTATAGAAAATAGGTTGAAGAGCATCTGTAAAACCAATAGTATCTTTAAGGTGAGATTGCAGAATTTTGCTGCATACCTGGACACAAGAGAAGTGAAAAGTTGCAACAAGTTTTAACTAGCAGCAACAAAGAAAGTTCGATAACAGTTTTTTGTTTGTTTTTAGCAATATTCCTTTGCAAGTTCATTAAGAAACACTGTAATTTAATGGGGCATACGATATGAAACGATCTTCTTTTGCTATAGTGCTGTTCGTTGAAGAGAACCGACCTTTGCAAAGATTTCAACTGGGGTGTAACCTATTTACACAGTAGTTGCTTCTGGTCTGAGTGATAGAATTGGTGCTATGTGATATCCTCTTCTTCAGAACAGTAATCCCGACCCTTGGAGGAAAAAAGAAAAAGAATAACATGTGAATGAAAAGTTCAAAGTACAGCTTAAAATAGTTACTGGTAATCAATTTTCTTTCAGCCTAAGATTTGTTGTAACAGAATCTAGGTTTTGTTAACGACTAACTGGAACAAAGTAGATACATCATAAATACAAACTGGAATATCTGCTGGAAGATCTTTCTCTCTCTTTCTCTCTCTCTCTCTCCTCCCTCCCTCCCTCCCTCTCTCTCTCTGTCTGTCTCTCTCTCTCTTTCTCTCTTTCTCTCTTTTTTTCTTTCGTTTTACCAACCTCAAATAAGCCCTTACTTTACGTTGGCAAGAACGTATATGAACTTGTACAACAGGCATCTACAACATTCAGCCTTATACTCAGTGGACAATCCACTCCAGGACACCACTTTCTCATCAGGAAGAATTAACAAGTCACTTTCAGCGGCTTACATTCTATAGCTACATCCCTTTGTCTGGAACTTAAAATTTCACAGAGGGAGGTGATGTAATTCAGCAATGTCTTAGTTTTAATTCATCCTAAAACCATTGGTTATAAACTCTATGAAGATGCAGTTGGGATTGGGGTCCAGACTCCACATTTGACCTTGCTTGTTCCAAACACACATTTCTTGGGTCTGTAAATCATCACAGATAGCACAGGACAAAAGCACCTACCCTGCTGCCTCACAGGTCATAGATAAAGGCTTTGTAAATTATTATTATTATTTGCATCCTTCAACTTTTAAATACAAGCTACATATTCTAATTTTGGAAGGGAAATGTCCCTTTAAAGTCAAATTTTCTAAATAACTGAAAAGTATTCCCCAAAGTATCGATATTTAAATAATTAGTGACGATTTTGGACATAACTACTACTCAAATGTACAGAATGTTTCTTTGTTATAGTATGTTATTTATTTATTTTTGGTACCGGGGATCGAACTCGGGTCCCTGTGCTTGGGCAGGCGGTGAAACCACTGAGCTAAATCCCTGGTCCTGTTATAGCATCTGTATACCCTTCTGTGTCTCAGTTTCCTCATCTACAAAATGAAGATAACAGCAGTAAGATTAAATGAGTTAATGGTAATAAAGTGAGTAAAGAGCACCGTGCACATAATGTTGTACAGGGTATGTGTGTATATGTGCGTGGGTATGTTTGATAATTTAAAAATGCTGCCTCTAATGACAGCTTCAGGCCTGTGGAAGTATGAGGTCACCTACTCCCTGCTAAATGGCCCCCGGCTGCTTGTTTTGTTTGACTGTTTTTCACTATTTGGTGTGTTTTGCTTTCCTCCACCATCAGATTGCTAACCCTCACACTGCTATCTGCAGATTTTCAGTCTAGCATCATCTCCAGGCTTGATTTACTTGCTGCATAAAACCTCTCCTGGGCAGAGAAAATGCACAACCAATGTCTCTGAGGGGAGCAGTGTGAACTTAGCCGTCATTCCCCATCGACAGCATTTCTGGCCAAGGCTCAAGCTGATGCCATCCCTAGCCTTGGCCCAGACCACCCAAGAGACACTGCCTGAGTCACCTGTTGGACAGCTAGAAAGGGAACTCTTGGGGTCTTTGACCCCTGGGTATTTATTCTCCAAGGTGGGAAACAGGGCACATACAAAACAGTACTGTAAACATCAAGGGATGCCTCACTTATCCTTAACACATGAGACTCAGAGAGTAGGCTTGCAAATAGACTGAGAGTAAAGCTTGGGAGGAAAGGTAGGGCACATGAGTTTTCATGGAGTTTCTTCGATAGGAAAAAGGGGGCACTTTTATGGTTTAGCTCTAAAATGTCTCATGTGCTCAGAGTTGATGAGCTTTAAGAAAGTGATGGGATCATCAAGGTCCTAACTTCATCAAGTGAATTAATCCACTCACAAGTTCATTAGTTGACTGGGTTTATTAAGAGGTGGGCCCTAAGTGGATGAGGCAGGTCACGGGGGAGTATAGCAAATCCCAGGCCTTTCCTCTGGCTCTTTCCACTACCTCGCTCTACTTTCCCAGTTGTCATGAGGTGAGTAGCTTGTTTCCTCCACATCCCTCACCACGTTTCTTCCTGGGAGCCAGATGACCATGGACTGAAACCCCTGGAGCTATGAGCTATAATAAATCTATTCCCTCCAAGGTGACTTTTTTTGGTCATAGGAATGAAAATCTGACTAATATAGGGACTCTGGGAAAATTACCAGGCTTTGGCTTCCTGGGTGTAATAATGGTTTTAGGCACCTAGGGTTGTGATCAGGGTTAAATGGGAAAATATAGTGCCTGGCAGGTAGTCTATAAATATTCAGTACTATTAATATTATTATTTATATTGGTCAGCTTTTCCAGCACTGGGACACAATACCAATACCCACAACTTGAAAGAAGAGAGATTTAATTTGGCTCATGGTTCCAGGGATTCAGTCTGTAATTGTTTAGCTCCATGGCAGAAGAATCACGGGAGAAGGGGCTGGCAGGCAAAGCTGCTCTGTTCCTGGCTGCTGGGAAATAGAGCAGGGGATAGTGCCAGAGAGGAAGGAGCTAGGAACCATGTAGTCAGAATCATGTCTCCAAGACCCACCCAGACACATCCAGGAGCATGGGTGGATCCCAAGCCTATCAAATTGACACAATTAAGGTTAAATGTCATACTACTACCATTACTAGCACTAGTACTACTACTACTACTAGTACCACTGTAATGTTGATATTAAGTTTGCTCAGGCCTCTGGGAGAGGAATAGGGACCTTCTCCCTTGTGGCTGTCAGGTAAGTGAGGACTGTGGTCATAGGCTGTGATCTGACAGGAGTCGCGGAAGCTCCCACCTCAGCCTTGTACCCACACAGGACAGACCTCATTGACATGAGAAAAGCGCTCCTGGCAGAAAGTGAAGTCCTTTCCCTTCTTATGTCTAAATGAGGCCTCAACTCTAAGCAAAGCCAATGAGACTCCTCTATGATGAAGAACTTGGACGCGATGACAGGCAGATACACAGGCACATGCATGGACACATCACCCCCCTGTACATGAGAACCGCAGGGCTCACTGACAGAGCAGTGTCCAGCTCCACAAATGAGCTACAGTGTTGTGTGGCCAAAGGACCGAACAGACCCTCTCAGTTTACTGATACCATAAGAAGGGCTCCCCTACCCTACATTGTGAGAGACAAAGCTAAATAAGCCCTCTGTATACATAGAAGACTGCAACTTTCATTTCCCAAGCATTTATTCCTCTAAATTATAATTATGATAAGAAGGAGGAGAAAAACACATTAGTTGTTTTGCAGATATTATTTCACTTATTATTAATATCAATCCTGCAGGGTAGGAGTGGAGTCCTGTTAGTTGTGGGAAAATCTCACAGAAGCCCAAGACCACAGAGCTGACTCTTGTCTTTTTTGTTAGAACTCTAGTGACTTGATAACTAAGTTCAAATTCCAATCAGTCTCACTTTTGTTATATCACCTGCGAGCAGCTCTGAGAACCAAATATTTTGATAACAAGAAGCTTTGAAATCAAAACACATCGAAGGTAGGGGCCTCCACATGGTCACTCAGGGCAGGTTTAAGTGTCCTGAGAAAAATGTCATTGCAGGGGCCCTGTCTCAGTGCCACATGGACCTCCTCTGCACCTGGTGGGACAGGGAGCTTGCTTCTGTAGCAGGACTTCATGTCTCATTTAAATTGTTAAAGAACTGTGCTAAAAAGAAGTCTCAAAACCTTCAACTGTCAGAAGGCAGGAAGTAAGAGCCAGGAGGCTTGGGAGATACACAGCAGTCCTCTTAGCTGAAATATGCCCTTCTCTCTTAAAAGGACCCCAAACGAAAGTCTTTGTAAAGATGTTTCATGCAATTAGAATTGGTGGCTATTAGTCACAATTTCACCCTTGTGCAAAAGCCAAACTGACAGATCCCTAGGAGGCTCAGCAAGCTGCAAGAATGGAAAGTCCTAAGAATGCTGACAAGGAATTGTTTGAAAGAACCACATGGATGTCTTGGTGTAGACTCAAAAAACTCCAAGGAGCTCTTGGCTACTGAAACTTTTCTGATCAAGTCCTACTCTGTGGAAAGCTCCCATGACCTCTTTACGTACTGGTATTATTATTTTCCTTTGAACGTGAAAGAGTATGTCAACTTGAAACATACATTTACAAAGATCTAGGGAAGGATTTTTGTTTACTTGTTGAAGTGCTAAGCATTAGAGATATTTAGGAGTAGCACTGGGAAGAATATTATACTAATTTTAAGTTCTTCTAGTTTAAAGAGGTGCAACTCAAATAGTGATTTCAAATAAAGAAACTTCCTCCAATGTACCTAAAGTACTTTTTCTACTCAGGTTTATTTTTTGATGGGGACTGAACCCAGGGCCTTTGCACTGAACTACATCCCCAGGCTGACCCCCCTTTAAATTTTGGGACAAGGTCTCACTAAATTGCCCAGGGTGGGTTTGATTTTGTAATACTCCTGCCTCAGCCTCTCAGAATGCTGGAACTATTTGCAGAAGTCTTTAGTATCTTTCTGTGGATGTGTCCGCATTCAGCTTAAGGAAGGCCACAACTCAAGCATGTAACAATCAGCTATAAACTGAGTATTAAGAGTCATATCAAGATTCATATCCTTTATTATAGCAATTCTAGAAATTAACTGAAGATGATACATGATCAGAGGTGGGAATGGTTACTGACTGTAAGCAGGCAGGAGAGATCTTATTGTGGTGATGGAAATGTACACTTAACATGAATAAATTTTAACTTTTGGGGTGTGGTGGTACTGGGGATTGAACTCAGGGCCTTGTGCACGCAAGACCAGTGCTGTGCCACTGAACTCAACATTGATAAATTTTATAGTACATAAATCATATCTCCAAAAAGTTGTTAAATATATATATGTATAATTATTTACACTGCAACATTTTTATTAGGCTGAGAAAAATCAACCTGATGTCCTAGAGAAGACAGTTACTGAAGGCTGGTTCATGTACTCTCGCTTACCAAACAAATAAAATTCAACAGGATCAA